ATCTCACTGCAACTTCTCATAAAACTAAGTTTAAAATATATCTCTGATTGATATTAGAAATTAAGGCAAATTTCAGCAGCATCTCCCATGTAGAGGGTGAAATGTCAAAGTTTTTTCAGATTCATAAATAATATAATCCCCCCAAAATTAAAAAAAAATCAGCAACAATTTTTTTAGAGAAATTGTCTTTCTAAAATTTATACTACGTTAAATATGAGCTTCAACATAAAACTTTGACTTTACAAAGCTAAATTTTGTCCAACTCCTTGAATTGGTAAAACTTTTGGCAACACTTCCCATAGAGAAGTCGGTTCCTAGGATTTATACTAAGTAAGATATAATCTTAAGGACAAAACTTGAATTTTGCAAAGATAAAATTTAACTAACTTTTGAAATTTGTATAGATTTCGGCAACATTTTCTCTAATGAAAATATTTTTCCATAATTATACAAATCTAAATAGGAATGAAAAAATAATTTTGACTTTCATAGGGTTATATTTTGTCCGACTCTCTGATTTACTAAAAAATTTGGCAACACCTTTCCGAGAAAAGTAAGTCAGATATGTGATTAAGAAAAAAAATAAAATGTTCAACGACAAAATTTGACGAACTCGTTGGATTTATAAAAATTTGGGCAGTACGTGCCCTAACGAAAGTGTCTTTCAAAAACTTATACAAAGTCAAATATAAATACATAATAACTTAACTTCTGAAGGAAAAAAAAAATGAACTAACTCCTATAACTCTATTACATGGCGAACATATAAAAAACTACATATAAAAAAACAAACTGATACGGAACTCACAACCAAGAAAAATATATGCAACTAAGATAAATCTTTCACAAAATCCCAAGTTAATTTCACATATTAGATAGTTCATTGAACCCTCAAATGATTAACCTTCTATCTCAACTTAATAGGACATTAAGTTAAGTCATTCATCTTAATAACAATCTAAAAACCTTTGCCTTAATTATAAATGAACAAGTTGCAAAACTACTTCTTTTTTCTCTGGGCATGTTACTAGATAATTTATCTTATAAAAAATATTTAGTTATCATTGAACTGTTTAGTAGGTAAGTTCTATATATCTCTCTGCGATTATTGTTCAAAGTGACTGTAAGACTGAGTCATTCATTTCAGAAACAATGCTCAATCGACCTAGGTTACCTAATATTATAAATAATGCTCAATCGACCTAGGTTACCTTCAATTATAATCCTTAAACCATTCATCTTAGAAACAATGTTTAGTCTTTTTGCTTGAACCTCCTTAAGCCACTAGTACCTCCGAGCCTGTTTTTGCCAACCCTGAATTCCACCACGCTCCGAGTTTGCCGAGTCTGGGTACCACTCCATTTTCTTTCTGATACTCTCACGGAAAAAAAAAAAAAAAAAAGTTTCGGTCGTGAAACTTACAAAAGAAGAGAAAAAAAATAAAAAAAATTTGGTCGTTATTACAATTGTATACATTCTTGGAAGTGGTAGTGTGAGTGTGCCCTCAGTGAGCACATCTCAACTCCGTGCCCAGGTTGTCTGATTCGAAAAATAAAATAAAATAAAATAAAAAATGGGCATACGGAACTGGCCGTGAAAATAGTTGGATACATTTTCCTAAGTGTCAGTGTGATGAGCCGTACAATCGTCTAACGAAACACAGCTTGAGCAGATCACGAATTTTGCCCTGCCTCGTTGGCAGGGGCAGATATTGGAATCGATGCAGAGCGCTGCAGCGAGATTGTTCACACACACATGAACGCTGAAAGCACAGAGTAGCTCACAGCAAACTCAAGTGATGATAAAATTGAAAAAAAATGAACAACAACCCATCACAAAATTCCTTCCTCTGGCCACACACCCTATGGTCCGCCATTCACTCCTTCAAGCTTGTTGCTGTCGATTTGGCGCAGAAGCGTCAATATCAATGGCAGAAATCGAGTTCGCTGAAAAAGGACTACTCTATCGTTCCCTAACTATTAATAGTTCAAAAACCTTCGTGGACGTACTCGAGGCCGGCCGAAACAGACGAAAGGTTAAAGGCAAATCACACAACAAAAACAAATAAAAAACAACGAAAAGCAAAAACAAAAACAGAGGACCAGAGGGACCAAAACGTCAGGGCGGGACACGTCGGGCCTACAACCCCGCGGATCCGACAACTACTGATAACTTTGATCCTAACCTTCCCTACTCATTCAAATGAAGGCCTTGCACTACCGGGCCCCATTCGGGGCAGCAGGTACGGACAAATCTGAATAGGACCTTCCGGAAAATTTCCCCGGGATAGGCTTGCAGTCTTAGGCCGTGATTCAGCGTGAGCACACTTTCACCCACTCTTTCCACAGACATGGTGGTTTGCTTGATCTTGTGCAGCATCCCATTAATCAAAGTTCTCTTTTGTCGAGCACAGGTGTACGAGTCATAGTCTTGAAAGCACCTGTAACTCAGTCTTTCGCTCTTCTCCCAAATTTCTCTGAAAGTTTTTGCACGATGCCAACACTCCACACGCGGCCCATCTATCCGAACCCGACAGCCCAAAAAATCCCACTCCTTCCTTCTTTCATCAGTCCGTTTCAAGGTGGGATTAGAATCGTAAGATTCTTCAAAAGCCTTCCTTATCTCTTCACCCTTCCCCTTCTTGTCCTTCGACCATGCGTCCCAAACAAAAAAGGAAACGTCATCAACTAGTCTAATCCCCTTCACCAATTTCGAGTCCTTTTCCATTTTTTCCAAAAATTTCGACTCACAACAGGCACACAAAATGCAGGCAATCGGGGGGCTACTCGATTTTCCCATCGAGATGCCCTCCTTCTGTCGAATAAGCCTTCAAGAGGCCCACAAATAGGTATTATCGAGGTCGAACTCGATCATTGCTCTAATTAGATCAAAGCTCACTCTCAGCCAACCATCCTCCCCCTTCTTCTTTCCAAACGTCGCACCTTTTTCCCTCGCCCGAACTAAGACCCAATTTTTCCCTTCCTCTTCGTACCTACTTAAAATTCATTCAATTGCCTCTCGTATCGACTCATGGGGCAGCTTACTTAACATCTCTTTGATGTCGTAGGCTGCACCTATTAGCTCCTCATTCTTCTTTCTTTCCGCCCATCTGCATACTTCCTCCTGTTTTTTCTTCAGCAGGTCTGTCGACTTCAGGTTGAAATGATCATTCTTCGGCAGGGAAGACAGAAGGAAGTTCAGCGCCTTCGCTACTCGCCGGTTAGCCATCTTCGCAGGCTCAGAGCAGGATGGGGAAATCGGTCGAAACTTCGCTGAATCCTTATTCTTTGGAAGCACATAGGCTTTCCCCCAGTCCCCTTGGTTATCCTATTTCACGAGAGAGTTTAGTCCTTTCTTCTCATACTCCCTTTTGGCTCTTGCCATCACCGCTTCCTCACTCCTCCATACGACGTCGAAGGCTTTGTTTCACCAGAACATCCCTTTCATACCTTCTTCGTACTTGATTGGGCACATAACCAGTGTCGCTGCCGGATTTTTGTCCAACGGACAGAAGATTAACCCCTCCCATCTTCTTTTTACTTCATCTATACGATCTATCAGCCCATCACCTTCCTTCTTCGTTTTCCTGGTACATTCCCTTGCTTCTTGAATCGACCACGACACCTTCAATCCTGCCTTTAACATCTCATTGTTCAATTCTTTGCATAATCGTACTTCATCTCTCTCGCAGTCGAAGACCCGCACTACATTATTGGAGTTCCGTATCCTTTCATCGACGTCACTTCGGCTTCCTAGTTGGAAGACTACGTGTCCTCCCTGCCTCGAGAGGTTCAGGTCTGCGCACCTGCAAACCGTTCCCATTTGGCGGCTTACCCGCCTATGGTTATGGAGAAGGTCTCCGACTTTCTGGTTTCTTCTCCAGACAAGACAGAGCTTTTGACATCGTAGCTTCGAGACTGTCGTCGAGTCGGACAGTGTGCAGATCTTACTTACCAGCCTTTCACGAATCTTTGCTTTTGACACTCTTTCATCGTATCTAACTCCTACAACCAACCTTCGCCGCAGACTAACATTAAACCTCCTTCGGACCGTCCCATCAACAATATTCTTCAAGGTCTTCCTAGTGCTCTTTCTGGAGAAGTTATTGATACAGCAGAAGACGTTCGCCGATTGTTCGAGTGTAAGTAGCTCCAATTTCTTCTTTGAACATGGGGCCCGCAGAATCTGATGTAACAGCTTCAGCAGCTTCGGATCTCCTTGACGCCTTTCCCGAATCCTGGTGATCTCCAGGAAACAGGAGCTTTTCAATTCACTTTTAACTTGCTTCAGTCTCCGCCTCTCCTCTTTGATAATCCCTTCATACTCGCCAAATCTCATTCTCACCACGCTCCAATCCTCGATTCAGATTCTACCCCCACTTGATTTCAATTCTCTGGATTTCTTTCCCCTTAGAGATTCAATTACCTCGGTCAGCCTTCCTTTACTCTCCTCGTTAGTCACCTGGAAACGCACAATTTTTTCGTTATCGTAGCATTTACCCCCGCTCTTCGTCTTTCTCTCCCTTCTCCCTCTCCTCCTTCCCTTCCCCTTGTTTTTTCCGTCGTTCCATCCAGTCGCGTTTAGGGTCGGGCACCGTCGCCTAATAAACGCCTTTTCCAGGCCGTTTAAATCACCTTTCTCCACGACCGCTACTGGGATTGCCACGTAGGACTCCCAACCCCACTTCCGTAACCACTTATACAACTTATTTTTTCGTCCACCTTGGACCGTCCTTGCTCTCCCTATGTGCTCCGACCACCTATCTTTCAAAAATCTCTCTGTCTTTCCAACGTACACTGCCTTACATCACGGGTTAATCAGAGCATACACACAAGACCTCGGGTCATTCCAACTTTCGCGACTATTTTCAAAAACATCCCTAATGCTTTCAAAGTATTTTCTTCCCCACGTAATTTTGTTCTCAAGAATTAACAGCAGCAATGCATTCCTCAGAATTTTCTCCACTAGCGCGACTAGGCCCCTAGCCTTTACATTCAGTTTACACCAAAGGCGACACTCAAAGAATTCCAAAAGAAGTTTCCATGATTCTGAATTATACGTCTGATTCAACCTGGGGATCTTGAATCTCCCCCCTCATCTGCTCATCTTCCGTTCCTTTAGATGACGTCGAACCTGCATCCTTCTTTCTGTAACAGTAGGTCACTCGCAACTCTGCAAGGACGTCAACAGCGTCATTCAAGCCATAAAAAGACAGCCCAACTCCTTTACACATAGCCTTTAGCGTATCTGGGTAGAAAGACTCCAGAGTCTTCCTGAAAGCCTTCCGAAAAGCTGCTTCGGTAGCATATTTGTCCCCCATTGGAACTCCTTCCCATGGGTCTTGACCCTTCTCCATTCTCACCGCTTGGGTGTCGGCTCTCGATGGCCTTCCTCTCCCCTTCCTCGCTCTAGCGCTCCCTGGTGTTCTGGCATTATCGAGTTTTTCTTGTTTCGGTGTATTCTCCATAGGCGGGCTATTCGCGGTCGCTCCCGTCGACTCACGGCGTTTCATCTTATCCTTAAGAGGTGTAGTTTCCTCCTCTCCTTCATTATCCTCTCCGGATCCCGACGATAGTGCAGGCGCCACCTTTTTCTTCTTCTTCTTACTTTCGATCGTCGCTCCTTTCAACCCTGAGCCCATGATCTGTGCCAACCTCTCTTCATACTCCTCTCTCTGTTGTGCAAGGATCTTCTTTATCGCCCATTGCCTCTTTTGCTCATTTTCTTCCTTCGCACGTTTCCTCTCCATTTCAATCCTCGCAGCCTCCTCTTTTGCTGCCCTCTCATCTTCCTCATGTTTTTTCTTATCCTCCGCTTCTCTTTTTGCTTCCTCGGTCTCCCTTTGTTGATCCAGCAACTGTTTCGCCATCCGTCCCATGGAAGCTAGCGAGTCTTCCAGCTCTCTACTCAACGTTACAACTCTTCCTCCTTGGCGCTGTAGACGGGGACACTGGCTTTTATAGTGGTCGAAATCCCCACATTCATAACACTTGACTTGTCTTGTATTTCCGCCATCGTTGTAACTTCTCCTCCCGTAGTCATCAAAGGATCCTCCTCGTCTTTTTTCATATCTCCTATCACGTCATTCATCCCACCTTTTATCCCTTCTTCCGTCACTCCCGCTATCCCATCCTCCGCTCTCATAACCTCGATGCTTGTCCCTTCTCCCCCACGGTTCTTCCCTTCGATAGCTCATCTTGGACTGTTGCCTTGATCCCTCTCTAGCACGTCTCCGTTCTCGCACTGGTACCTTGCACGCCTCACAATTTTTCTTCGTCACCTTTCAAAATCACGAAGTTGTAGTTACAACAATCACTAACACCAAACTCCAAGTAACTTTCCTTGGTTGGTTATGGTGCTCGATATCTGGCAGATATTGGAATCGATGCAGAGTGTTGCAGCGAGATTGTTCACACACACATGAACGTTGAAAGCACAAAGTAGTTCACAGCAAGCTCAAGTGATGATAAAATTGAAAAAAATTTGAACAACAGCCCATCACCAAATTCCTTCCTCTGGTCACACACCCTATGGTCCGCCATTCACTCCTTCAACCTTGCTGCTGTCAATTTGACGTAGAAGCGTCAATATCGATGGCAAAAACTGAGTTCGCTGAAAAATAACTACTCTATCGTTCCCTAACTATTAATAGTTCAAAAACCTTCGTGGACGTACTCGAGGCCGACCGAAACAGACGAAAGGTCAAAGGCAAATCACACAACAAAAACAAATAAAAAACAATGAAAAACAAAAACGAAAACAGAGGACCAGAGGGGCCAAAACGTCAGTGCGGGACACGTCGGGCCTACAACCCCGCGGCTCTGACAACTACTGACAACTTTGATCCTAACCTTCCCTACTCATTCAAATGAAGGCCTTGCACTACGGGGCCCCATTCGTTGGTAGGGGACTCATAAGAAATACACGAAAAAAAAAAAAAAAAACCAGTAACATTTATAATGTGACCGCCTTACCTGTAAGGTGCATTCTATGGAGGGAGACTTTGAGCACGGCCTCTTGGATTGCCCTGCCCGACGTCATTACAATAAAAAAAACATATTTCCCCCCTTCTTTTCGTTTCACTCGTGGACACTATAAAACTCAGATTATGGGACCTTGCCGACCCTGTACCCCACCCCAATTTCTTCAGGAACTGGCAAAACCTCGTATTTTCCCAACATTTGCAGAGGTACTAGTTATGTAAGAAAAAACATACAAAGAGTTAAGTCATTCATCTGAAAAATAATGTTTGACCCTTTAATAAATTTATTTATTTATTTATTATTCATCTTAGAAACAATGCCCCTGTTTCGAAGTCAAAAAAAAATAAACAAACGGTTAGACCATTCATCTTATAAATAATGTATGAATATAAAAAATCAAGCAATCAAACCCCCAAAGAAACAACAACCATACCATCTAACTTAGAAATAATGTCTGGTTGTGGAGAAAACAAGTTAAAAAAAACATAGCAAACATTATATTTATCTTAGAAATAAAGTCTGGTTCTTCACACAACAGAACAAAATAAAATTGTCAAATCAATCATCTTAAAAACATTATTTGACCCTTCGATTGACCCAGTTAAACACATGCAAAACCACCTTCCTCCCACCTTCCCCGAGTTTACTTATCTCTGTCTAATTTCAAACAACAGAGTATATATGATACTCGCATGCACTTCCTTTACTTAATCTGAATCAAGTCATGAACGAAAGCATAATTTCACAGATAAGAACCAACGTAGACAGATGTGCTAATAAGGGTTTACTGGGTTCACACAAAGACGAAATACATATTCGATCTATGTCTTCAAAACCTCGTCTAGGTTTCAACAGAGCTCCAACACCAGTGGGACGAATCTTTCACAAAGATATTTGTGCGAAGTATGGGTTTTCAATCCCGCCTGCCGCCTTCCTCTCGTAACCAAAGAGACTTAGACTTTGAATAACAAAAATAGAAGGAGAAAAGTCAAACCCTCTATATATAGAAAATTGTCAACTAATACTCCCGTGAGTGGGCTTTGACACCTTTATGCGCCTGAAGACCCATGGAAAAAGACGCAGTAGGACAACGAAACCACTACCAAACACATAATAATTACACTATGACATCCTTTCAGGTTGCACCACTGTCCTCCATGATGAGTCGGATGACTCTCCTAAGCCGCAATATTGTTACCTTTGACCAAAATGCTGCCACGCAATGTAGAAGGGTTGTATTGGAATAGATCACACCCTGTGTGTTCTATTCGACAATTAGACAAAACGAACCAGTACACAGTAGTGACAGCAAGACTCTACATTGGTGCACAGTACTCAACAAACACAACATGTACACCGGGCACAACTCATGTACGACAATACGCAATTAAGAGCGTCGCACATCAAAGACCCAACTTGCTGAACAATGTACTGTGTTTATTCCCAGCAAGCACATAGCGCAATGCTCAACAAAACATTATACACTCAACAAAATGCACTGCGATGCACAATCAACATCGATGCGAAGCAACTTCAATTTTTTCCTGTGGTTTCTAGTTGTCTAGCAATGTCTTCTACTGCTTATCCAACAGCGGTACCTTGACTTACCTTAGGTCCAATTGAACATAAACCTACCGCTAATCTACAAACATGTACAAAAACATCATAAATCAAATGATTCATAAAAATATCCTCACTTATGGGATTTAACAAATAATTATAATGGGTCCTTATTATCCATAAAAGTACTAATTAATTTGTTTTCGTGTTAGTACTTTTCAAATTAATAACTCAAGATGTCTCTTTAAGAGCCTGCAAACGACAACCGCTCTTCTCCTAGCTCACAGTTTGGAGTTGCAAGGTCATCACACTCCCCAAATAACGTCGTGCACAAAAAAAAGACCAAACCCCAAAGCAGCCAACTGACGACACTCCAGATCACAAAGGAACGGTGGGAGTCGTATAGACGGAAGTTGTCCAAAAAGCAGAACCACACTGTTATGACATCGGTGGGGAAACAACGGTCCAAATTCATGTGCATCGGTGGAGAACCAAACCAACGAACTCAGATGTACAGGCAAGCATACAATTGTCATCATCACCAGTGCAATCGAGGATTTGCTTATTGGCGCTCCGCCCTCAGACCACAGTCACATAACTACTACGTAAACGGCTAGTAACGAATTAACCACTTGTCATCGGCAGCAACAACTGAGATTCATGTACATGTTGAGCATGCAACAGTAATCGAGGTACACCTGCAAATGTTGACCATGTAGACCGTCGCCATGACCAAATACGTGCTTTGTGCCTTTCTCATTTCCTTCGTCAATGTGTTGCTTTCACCAAATCTGGCCGTAACCCCAGCCAAGTACGAACAACTTAAGGTAAGCCCGCATTGGCGTTTTTCAATAAATACGTCTCTTATAAAAATCGAAATATATTGCACGAATTAGCTATAGAATTGCTACAATTATTCAAGTGGTAAAAAAATATACGAAATAAATGATAGTTGATTTAGCGAGTTATTAGCAGTTTTTTTTTTTTTTTTTTTTTAACAACCCCTTTATATTATGGGGGGAACCGGTCCGGTTACTTATCACCGACAAGCATACAAAACTAGAAAAAGAACACTTTTAAGAGACCGAAACAACTTCTGAGCAGCGCTAGAACAACTAAAGTACCCAGTCCTACTCAACTCCTTCAAACCCCTATCAAGACCAACGTCTGTTTTCACCTGACTAATATTGGATCAACAAAGAAAACTAGGAGAGAAAAAACAAGAACTAGAATCAACAAAACTCCAGGAAAGAGAATCGAAAAAAAAAACCGTGAGGGATTAGGTCCTTAGAAAATCAAAATATAATAATTACAACAAAATAACAATAGCCCCACACTTCCTCTAGACAGAAAGATCAATCCTTAAGACAAAGCCTATCAGCAGGACCATATACCTACATATGACTACATACTAATAGTGAGCATAGGCAGTGCAAGCCACCCATGCACCCTTCCTTAACGCTGAAGTCCAAAGGAAGGCATGCTCCCTCTAAAAGGCAATCCCTATAATCAATAATTACCTTCTGAGAGCGGCACCCCCCTCCCCTAAAAAAAAAAGAGAAGAGGGGAAAAAAAATACTTAGATTCGTAACAAGTTCTGCAGACCGTCAAAAAAACCCTTCGTGATGATCGTCATTTTCAGGCAAAATTGATGGGCTTACGAGAACATCCTCATCCCTTGTTAATGTCAAGGCTGAACCAAAATAGTAGCTATTATTGTTTATATTAAAATTGACAAAATTAACAAATGGTAACCAAGCCTGAAATAGAAAACACTCTACTCCAATATTACAAGATTCATGACTATGCAGAAAATCAGCTTGGATGCCTTGTCGAATATAGAGAACGACCAACCGCTTAAGGTAAGAAAGAGTGAAAACTCTATTCTGCCGAATACAAGCATTCCTCAAAAGCCAAAATGCAGCAAGGATGACTGCCATAACAAACTCATAAACATAAAACCAGCTATCTTCCCCAACCTTGATATTAATGTCCAACAAAACATCATCTCTGAAGTCTTAAGAAAGGAGAAGTGGTAATGAACTCTTGCACATAATGGGCCACTCCCACCAAAAGGCTCGATGAAGCGAGCACTCCATCCACAAGTAACAAATAGCTTCAATTTGAAGGTCGGATACAAGATAGAGGGAATTAGTATGTCGACTCTTGGTTGCCTGCTACACTGCAGTTGGGATAGCTAAATAAACAGTAAGTTAAAGCAAAGTTGCCTTCTTAGCGTCAGATAGTTGTCGATTAATATTACAAAAGACATAGAAAAACCTCCAACTCCACTCCGACAAACCATTATCAGAAAAAACGTCTGCTTCTCGCATCGTGCTTTAATGTGGGAAAAAACGTTAAAGGCAGAGGCATGCAACCGATACAGATTAATTGTTATAAGTTCAT